ACTCACCTGCTGATGTCCTCCTGCAGGCTCTGCAGGGGCTTCTGCAGGCCTCTGGAGGCCGAGTACAGACCAGTGAACTTCTTCTTGACCTTCACAGTCAGCAGGTTGAGCTGGTCCTGGAGGCACTGGATGGTCTCCTTCATATCCTGACCGAAGCAAAAGGAAGCAGTGTCAGAAACACCCGACCCACAGAACCAGTCAGCGCGTGAACACTCAGATGTAATAAAGGCAGATAAACCTGTTAATGCATGAAACTGTGCCACACGAGGGCAGAACAAACGAGGCACGATGCAAATCACACCCATCAACTTCAGAATCTGTCGTCATCCTTGTCATGTATCCCGTGCACTGTTATTCTAACTTTAAATCTCCGCCTGTTTGAGTTGTTGAGGCTGCAGACAGGCTGAATGTGCGCCGACTGCACCTCAAGCTCAAACAGATCATTGAATGCTGTTGAAGTGGATTTAAAAATGGAAGCGAAAACCACTACAGATCAGTGCTGCTGGGCTTGAAACCATCACAGGTCCAAAGTTAACCGTCTGCTTCAGGCTAGGACTGGGCGATATATCGAGTTTTTTTTCCCTTTTTGTTTAAAATATCGATATATTTTTATACCAAATATAAGAGGTGACAATATCGTTTATATCGATATGTTGTGTTATAATTATACTTGTGGAGCCGCACGTTTGCCTCCCTTTCATCCACTTTTGCCTCTATGCTGCGTTACTCCGCCTCCCCCCCTCTCCTTCACTGAACACAACTCCTCCCCCTCCCCCATAACTTCACCTGCAGGCGACGACAAGATGGACACGGCAAATCTCCGTTAGCGAGTTAACCAGGCTGCAGCCCAGAGAGGCTGCACGGCCTAAAATGCTTTCATTCTCTCAAAAGTTGACAGCGCGCCTTATGTATGAATTCTGGTTGTGCTTGATGACTGCAAACCGATTTTACGTGCACGGCGCTCAGCAATCTGTCAAAAATGTTTCAGTACGACTTTGCTAAGCTACGGAGCTGCACCACCTGATGGGTTGTTGGAGCATTACAGCTACCGAGGAGCCTCGCCGAGTGATACGTACTGTGCTTCAATGTAATATTACTGTACTGTGTGCGTATAAGGACCATAAATGGCACCTGTTCAGAGACGTGGTTACGAAGAGGATTTCAAACTCCAGGCTGTCAGTCACGCAGTACAAGCTGGGAACAGAGCAGCTGTGAAATCTGTCTCTTTGTTATTATGCTCAGCGTCTGTTAGTTTACATTTTGACTGCACAAAAACAGTTTTTTCATTTATGGAGCATTATTATTTATTAAATGCTGATAATTTGAGTAATTTTTCTTCATGAACATCTATGCTGTTTGTTAATAAAAGTGCCCGTGTGACATCTGGGACACAGCTTTGACTAAGAACTGTTTGTTCTGACTTTATGGCTTAAAT